ATCACACGGTCAGGGCCAAGCTCAGGTCAGACCACCAAAGGGCAAAGGGGCCCTGGACCCTCAGGGCCTTGGCAGAGTGAAGACCTGGTCACTCAGTACTTGCGTAGCTCAGGCAGCAGATGCTGCCCGCCCTGTGGGTGACTCTGGCCCTGATGACCTTTGGTCTGCGCCTAACACCTATGCGGCCTAAGAAGAAACTTCCCAAGCAGCTTCCACAGAGCCCAGTGCCCACAGCAACAAACAGCATTCAAAAGTCAGCAGGCACAGAAAGAGGTGGGAAAATGTCTCCCATGTCGGGGATGAGCCAGTATTCAAAGCAGGAAAGTCTGAGGGTGTTGATGGAGGATGAGGAGAAGAAAGACACACAAGGACATCTAGAGAGGGAATCTTCGACGTCTGAGGTGAAAATCACAGGATCGATGTACAGCTAACAGACCACACTACAGAAATCAAGGGAACTGGACAACCTGGAAAGGGACAGGTCCTAAAAGGAAACACAGGCAAGAGAAACGGGCATTAGGGGCCGCAGGGAACCCCAGCTCTGCCTGTCTGGGCAGCTGGAACACCTGGCCCACGGGGTGCGACGGAGCAGTGACAGACCGGATCCCTGAGTGGGAAACTCAACCTGTTCTGCGAGAAGAGTGAGTTACACACAACAGCGAAAACAGGCCAGCAGCTTACCGTGGACAGCAGGACTACGCTCAGTGCAAACCAGGCATGAGGTGTGAAATGGTTTGTATAAAAGCCGGAATCGGCAAACAGAGAGCCAATGTGGCAAAAACAGAAGCAAAGCTCACTCTTGGAGAAGAGGAAGGTGGTGAAAGTCCGCTGCTGCAGGAGATCGGGACGACACAGTGGGGGACGTCGGCGTAGGAGAGACCGAAACAAACTGTGCCGTGAGGCGGACGGTGAGAGGACACAGGCTGTCCAGCAAGATGCAAGAACTCACAGAAGAAAAACCAGGCCACCTCAACTGTCCTGCACCCGTTTCTAACAGACTTCACTTTCAGAGCATGTTGGGGCTCAGGGCAACACTCTGTGCAGGTGCAGCCCTGTCCTGGGCTCTCAGCCTCCCACCTGGAGCATCACCGCGCCCAAGAGACTGCGGCCTTCTCGGCGGGGCTCACTCTATGCTGTGCACTCTCTGGCTGTGGACGAAGCCTGACCCGTGTCCACCCTGGCAGTTCCTGCACGCACGCCTTCCTCAGCGAAACTCTGCTGGGCTCCATCCTCGCAGCCTGTCCCAGCCCCGCCATCCCTGACCTTCAGCTGTCCTCAGACTTTCACCTCTTCCAACACCACATGGTAGGAGTCCCGTGGGACACAGTCCTGGCGGACCAGCTGCTTTCCCTTGGTCTATGCACTGGGATCCCCCGGGACTTCAAATGTCTTGGTAATTGTTTTCAGCACTCGGTAATGTTCCACTGTCTACATTCTGGTGCTGCTAGAGTCCATCCTGTCATGCACGGGAGGGCATGTGGTGCCTTCCAAGGCATCACATGGGTGGATAAGCTGCTAGCTACATCTCTGAGAGGATTTCGGTGGGGAAAATGCCAAGGGTGCTACTGCTGGCCTGAAAGAGCGGGTCTTCTGTTGGAGGCACCACCAGTCCAACTGCCTTCCAACGTGGCTGCACTGCTCTGCATTTCCGCCAGGGATGAATGCGGGCCCCTGTGGCTCACACCCTTGGCAGGTATGAGATGAAGCCCTTTCAGTCAGTGAGCAGCGGTCTGATCATTATGTAACTTGTGATTTCTCAGTGATTGTGAGGTGCACGTCTGTTTATTTGCATTCATTGCGTCTTCCTTGATGAGCTGTCTGTTGACTTCTTTTGCTCCTTACCTGGTTGGTCTGTTTGTTTTCTTAAGTTTTAAGAGTTCTTTGCATATTTTGGGTAGCAGCGCACATTAGACTTATTTTTGGAGACTGTCTCCGTGTGTCTCTCACTTCCTCAATTTTCTATATCAATTTTAAGTTATTCTAATAAACAAGCCCGTAGATCTAGATCACCCAGTGCCAAAGCATTCAAAGAAGAAAACAGTGACAGTTCTACACAATCCCTTCCAGAAAACGGAAGACCAAACACATTGCCACTCATTTACAGGCTCAGCCACACGCTAGTCAGGACCAAGACGTTACATGGAAAGAAAGACAGACCCATTTCCACTGAAATGCAGACAACCAAATCCACAACAAAGCATCAGCAAACCAAATGCCAGAGTCGTGAAAAGGATGGGACAGGCCAGGGTCCTCCGGGAATGTAAGGCTACATCCATAACAAACACCCACGGATGTGGGGACCACGGGAGGGTTTGCCGTGTGAACGGGCCGAGGGGAGGCAGCGTGACCACATCAAGGGTCACAGAGGAGCTGACAGACTCACCAAGCCTCACCTTCACAAGCGCTGTCTAGCAGCGGGGAGTGGGTGAAGGCTCATGATCCGGGCTGCCCTGAGGCACCCACCCGGGGGAGACGGCAAGGACCCGCCCTCTCCCCCTGCAGGAACTGCGTGTCACCACCCTGGATGTCACCCGGGGACCTGGAGACAAGGCCTGGGCTGAGCACCTGAGCAGCTGCTCCCTGCGGACAGCACAGAACCGGGAGTCACAGGGAGACCCGGAGCTGAGCCCATTCAGCCAGGCTGAGGGACCGAGCTTAAGCGGCAGTGGCAGCAAAGCCCAGCTGTGTTTCCAGGCGCGCCACTAATGACGAACTCAACTGTGCTGGGTAAAGGACGATCTACACTAGAATAAAAGCGTCAGCTTAACCACATATGGAGCGGAACGCGTAGCTCAGGCAAACACGATGGGAGAAACCAAACGGGACCACAGCCAGCGCAGCCGCACCGCCCTGTGGGTTGCACTCGGGCCTCGCGTCCGGCCAGCCACGCTGAGCTCCCGGGCGCCCCAGGTACAGCCCCGCAGAGTCCTTCGGCATCAACGCGCTGGCTCCAAATGTCCTTCCCAGGAAGACGAACCAGACACGACTTGTCGAAGAGTCAGAGCTGAGGTCTCCACGTCCTGACTTCAAGGTCTCCTAGGAATCCACAGGAAGGAGGCAACTTAGCGTTGGCAAAGAATAGGCACACAAATCGGTGAGAGAGAGAGGCAGCAGGCGCGGAGGAGGCTGCTGACTTCGGACCAACAGAGAAGGAAACGGAATGAGGAAGGACAGCATTCGAGCCACCCGGACAGCTGTGAAAAAAGAAAGATGAACTTCAACTAATGTCTCATAAATCTCGTAAAATTAAATCACAATTGACCATAGACCTAAACATGAAATGTGAAAATGTTTATGTGTCGGGAAAATCTCTGTGTGTGACCTTCTGCTGGGCGGAGTTCTAGAACTGACCCCAAAAGCCTGATCTGTGAAAGAAAATAGTTGATAAATGACATCACGTTGGTCTCTTTTGTTCTTTAAAACGCACCATTACAGGGATGAGCAGACAGGGCACAGACACGCAGAAGATACTTGCCAATCTGACCAAGGCGCGTGTAACCCGAAGAGGCCCTGGACTTTTAAAATCCGATATCAAGAAAACCTAATCCAAAAGGAGGCCTGCACATGAAGAAACAGTTTTTCAGGAGCTCATGGTGGGCAGGTGGGCAGGTGGGCAGGGAGCCGGGCTGTGGGTCCTGAGACACTCGGGGTGTGGCCCGCGGGGCAGGGTGGACCGAGGGGACGGAGCTGCGCCGGGAAGGAGGTTCCGGGGGGACACTGCGGCTGCACGGGATGCCCAGCCTGGCCTCGGCCATCACCCCTGGCCCACTGTGGGGCACTTGCCCTGGCATGGCACGGCGGGGCCCGGGGTCCGGAGCGCTGGCCTCAACACCACAGCAGGGCTGGAGAGCGAAGCCGCTTCTGCCCAGAGGCCGCTCCGGGTGCCGGCCAGGAAGTGAGAGCAAGGCGGGTGCAGAACAGCGCGGGCAGAAGGACAAGGCGCCTCGCTGGCCTCACACCGGCCTCCGGCCTCTAGGAGGCTCGGCCGTCCTGCACTTGCTCTGACAGGCAGCCTGCGTTCCCGAAGTCCTGCAGAGGCCTTGGGATGTTAGACCTGCATGCGTGGGCACGGTGCCTGTGTCCAGAGAAAGAGCGATACACACTGCGCTGTCAGCACCCAGCGCTCCGGAAACCAGCGGGCGGCGAGGCGCACAGCACAGACCAGGCCTGAGTGGAACTGCGGTGTCCAGCACCAGCTGGCATCAGATAGCCACACCGGCAGGGGCAGTGCCCAGCGGCTGGCTGCACAAAACCCCTGGCGTCCGGCACCACTGCCATCATTGGTGACATCAGGACTGCTAGGGAGCTGCGCACTGCCCTGCAGGATTCCTTCTCAGTTGAGCCAAAGAACCCAGGCGGGAGGGCAGCACCCACCAAGAGTGGCCGGCCGGGACACTCTGTCTGCCGTTCCTGGAAGGTCAAGGCCAGCAGCTGGGCTCCTCCTCTTGAGGAAGCTGAGAGCCCTCCTCTGGGTTTTACTGATTTTGTGGTCTTCGCTGTTGTTTCTCTTCTGCTTCCCCTAGGATCCGGTTTCCCTTTGGGGGAAACTTTCGGGGTTTTATGTTTTCTGTCACATGCACCAGCTTCCGTTCAGTTTGTCCCAGATGTGGCTGAAATTTCCAGTCCCAAGTCCCTGTTCCCCTTGGCTCTGGGGAGCCTTCGTCTCGTCCCCTGTGGCCAGCTGGCCCGAGAGCCCGTCTTGGGGGCTCCGTCTCCCAAGTCTCCGTCACGGGCCCCCTCTGCCGTGGTGCACGGGTCTGGGGCCTCCTCCTGACCCAGGTCCCCTTTTTGCGTCTCTGTCACCCCGCACACACTCCAGAGCGGCTCCGCGTGACCGGCACCATCCGGGCTCCTTCCCCTCACCTCCGGGCAGCAGCTGCAGGCTGACAGGGTCCTCCGTGCCCACGGTGTCTGCCTGGAGGACCAGGCACAGATCCGGGCATCACCCGGTCCTCGGCCTCCCCCATGCAGTCCACGGGCTGAGCCAGTCTTTGTTTCAGCCACAGGAATCAAGAGCACCTGGGACTCAGCTCACGGCACCAGCAAGAGGAGGGACGGTAACAAGGAAGGGGACGGCAACAAGGAGAGGGACAAAAACATGGAGAGGGACAAAAACATGGAGAGGGGACGGCAACAAGGAAGGGGACGGCAACAAGGAAATGGGACGGCAACAAGGAGGAGGAAGGCCGCTGGAGCCTTGAGCAGGAACAGCACAGCCTGGCCTCATATAAAAGCCCATCACCCAGAGCACCTCACACACTCACACCCACTCACACTCACACTCACACTCACTCCCAGCGCAACCCCGCCATGGCCGCCTCCACCATGTCCGTCTGCTCTGAGCCCTGGCAGGTGGACGACTGCCCAGAGAGCTGCTGCGAGCCCCCCTGCTGCGCCCCCAGCTGCTGCCAGCCCAGCTGCTGCACCCCGGCCCCCTGCCTGAGCCTCATCTGCACCCCAGTGAGCTGTGAGTCCAGCCCGAGCTGCCAGCCGGCTTGCTGCTCCTCCTCCTGCCAGCCGTCCTGCTGTGAGTCTGTCTGCTGCAAGCCTGTGTGCTGCACACCCGTCTGCTGCAAGCCTGTGTGCTGCACACCCGTCTGCTGCAAGCCTGTCTGCTGCAAGCCTGTCTGCTGCACACCTGTCTGTTGTAAGCCTGTCTGCTGCAAGCCTGTCTGCTGCATCCCCGTCTGCTCCGGGGACTCCTCCTCCTCCTGCTGCCAGCAGTCTGACTGCCAGCCGGCTTGCTGCTCCTGCTCCCCATGCCAGCCGACCTGCTGTGTGCCCATCTGCTGCAAGCCCATCTGCACGCCCTCCTCCTCCTCCTCCGTGTCCCTGCTCTGCCGCCCTGCCTGCCCCAGCCCAGCCTGCTGAGGCCTCTCCCTGGCCAGAAGTCCTGCTGCCAGCAGGCTCAGGTCACCCCCAGGGCAGGCCTCTCACTGTCCCCCTTAGCCTGGTCCTGACCTGGATTAGCAGGCTGTTCCCCTCCCTGAGGACAGGTCCCCCCATGTACACAGTGCTGGCCTGACCTCTCCTCCAGGGTCCTCTGCTCCGTCAGCGCCCTGGGCCTCAGCCTGTCAGCACCTCTCAGGATCAATAAACTCTCCCTGACCTGATCCTCTGCCTCTTGTGCTCGTGGGGACAGTCTGAGCAGATCTGGGTGTCCTCCACCTTTGGACATTCCTAGCAGCAGTCACTTAGGCCAGAAGTTGCAAGAGATTGGCTCTCTTCCTGGAGGGTCACTGCTGAGACACAGGGGCCTCCCTTGAGGGCGGTGCCGTGTGTCCTCTGCTCCTCCACACAGAGAATGGAAAAGGGCGGGGCTGTGGAAGGGCCTCTCCAGTGCAAGGTCCTGAGTTCAACCCCCATACCAAAAAAAAAAAACTAATGAAAGGTACGTAAACTAAGACTTGCAGTCCTAGCACTTTTCTGCACACGGTTCACTGTCAGTGAGTCCTTACTCTGTGCAAGTGTGGCTGGACAGACACAATGTTCAGTCTCCTCCCAGCTGTCTGCACGAGTCCGAGCATTCCAGGTAACTTGGTAGGGAAGATTTCAGGTGTTGGTCCTTCAGTGTCTGGCTTGTTTCACCCTGCACACTGTCCTCAGGATGCACTCATGATGTTAGGTCAGGACTTTGATCCTTTGCCAGGCTGTGTCATATTTCACTGTGGGTGTAGACCACATGCTGTATATCCGCGTGTTTGGACAGTGGCACTTCCCACCTTTGCGGCAACTCCGAATAATGCTGCTAGGAACATGGATGTACAGATACCCACCTCAGCTCTTTTGATGACAGACCCAGAAGCAAACTCATGGATAGTATAGTGGGCCTACATTTAATTTGGGGGGAACCGCTGTATTGTTTCCCACCGCAGCTATTGTATGCTACAGTACTTTGGGTTTTCTGTTTCGGGACGCCACCCTGAGGGTGCCTCTGGTCTTAGCAAACCTTCCAGGCCAGGCTGGACAGTGGCCTACAGCCCCGCCCTCCCACAGGCCCCACCCCCATCTGCCCAAGCTCCTGCCTACAGCCCCGCCTCCTCCCTTCCACTCCCCTCCCCTACCATCTCCCCTGCATCTGGGTGGGGTCAGCCCTGCCCTTCCCCCCACCCTGCCCTCACCCATCAGTCAGCCTGACCTCCCTCCCCTACAGCACCGGGCCTTCCTCCCAGAATCCCCGCCCTATTTCAGAGCCCCTCTCCTCCCATGAGCCACTCCCGCCCCTCCCTGCTCTTGTTCATCTCTCCCATTGGCCCCTCCCCTGGGTCAGCCCACCCCTCCTTGATCCTGTGGCTTGCCCTCCTCTTGGCTGTCAGCCCTACCTCTCAACCACAATCCCTTCCCAGGTGTTGCTCTCCTCTCCCATTGGCTCTACCCCTTGCCTGTCAGCCCCCTGGCCCTGCCCTCTCTCACAAGCTCCACCCTCCCCACTCTGCAGAAGAACGAGTACCTGCTGGCGGTGGTGGCCGAGGACAGGGATGCGCTGCTGCTGGGCCTGCGCTACTCTCCCACTCGGCTGCACTTCCTGTTCCTCCGCGAGGACACAGCCGGGGCCTGGCAGACCCGTGTGTCCTTCCGCAGCCCCGGCCTCATGGACAGCCAGTGGCACACGCTGGTGCTGGCTGTGTCCGAAGGCTCCTTCTCCCTCACCGTGGACTGCGGCCTCCCGGTGGACATGTAGGTACCAAGCGGGTCTCAGGGCTGCGTCCTCGGGTGGCCTATGCTGAGGTCCTGGCAAGGACGCCCCCGCTGTCCAGAGGCCCACTGTGGACGGGGGCCGGGCGCCAGGTGGGGCTAGGTGGGGACAGGATGCTTACAGTCACCGCAGGCTGCTGCCTCGACAGCAGAGCTCCTCGTACCGGGGCACCGGGCCTCGCCAGGTGGGTGTCACGCCAGGCCACACCTCCTGTCGGCGGTGGCCCAGGACCCGGCTTTCGCACCCAAGGTTCCAGCCGTGCTGTCCCCTCTGTCGGGCACCGGCCTTCCTGCCCCATCTCTCCAGAGTCAGCATCTGGTGCTCTTCCTAATGCCTCGTGGGTCTCCAGCCAGTGCCTCCCTCCTGCTCCAGAGTCATTGCCCCTCCCGGCTGGGCACTGACAGGGCTCCTGCAGGCGCCCTCTGGTGACATGGCCCGGACCACATTTCCCTGTGGCCAGAAGATGCCCCTTCTAGGACCAGGGTCTCTAATCAGTCTGCATGGGCCAGACAGTGGCAGATGGGCCCTTTTGGGGAGACAGAGGCAGAGAGGCAGCCACTCGAGGAAGGGAGCAGTGGTGGAGAGATTTGGCCGCAGCCCAGAAGCCCTGGGGCCACCAGGAGGGGCGGGAGTCCTGGACGGCCTCCGGGTGGGGCAGCAGAGGGGCCACAGCCCGCGACACCCAGATCCCAGACGCCGGCCTCCAGATGGGGGCCCCACCGTGCTCCTGTGCGACGGCCCCTGTGGTACACAAGTGGGGCACAGCCTTGCCCTCCTGTGCCCTAAAACTGCCCTACACTGGTGTTCTCAGAATGGCTGATGTGCCCTTCCCGGCCACCCTGTCCATGCGGGGAGCACGGTTCTTCATTGGCAGCCGGAGGCGAGCCAAGGGCTTGTTCACGGTGAGTGTGGACCCTTGCCCAACGTGCTAGTTAGCAGCTTGCTGGCTTCCCTGGGGAGGCAGGGAATGGAGGTGCAGCGGGTCCCTGCCACCCAGCCCTCCCACTTGCTGTTGCCACAGAGTTCTGCCCCTCCACTCTGATAAGATGAGGCCCACACAGCCAGGCACAGGGGCATATGCCTGTAATCCCAGCACTGGGGAGGCTGAGTCCAGGTGGATTGCCAAGAGTTCAAGGCCAGCCTGGGCTACATAGCCAGACCCTGAATCAAAATAACAGTAACTACAATAAAAAAGATATTGCCCACAACCAGCCTGCCCCCTGGTGCTGTATGCTCTCAGGAGCACAGCGCACCTCACCACACGGTCCTCCCCCTAGGAAGGGATGTCAGGGGCAGGGCTGGGGCTCTGGTTCTGCTGGGTCCTCAGAGTCTGTGACAGTGTGGCATGCTGGGTCAGCGGTGGAGGGCTGGACGGAGGTTCACTGGATAAAGGTGTGGAGGGATGGAAAGGCTGCATGAGGCAGTGGGTGGATACACAAGTTGCTGGGTGAGTGGACAGTCAGAAGGGCAGGCAGCAGAATGGCCCAGGGATGGACAGACGCACGGATGGAGTGGTGGGTGGATGGATGATGGATGGACAGACGCACGAGCAGTGCAGCCTGCTCACTCCCAGTCAGTCCTCATGGGAAACCTCCAGCGGCTTACCCCGAGCATGGTCACAGCCCAGCCCCTGCTCCTCAATCCGAGGCTCTGAGCAGCCATTGCTCCTCTCTCTGCAGGGCCTGGTACGGCAGCTGACCCTGCTGCCAGGCTCCGACGCCACCCCGAGGCTGTGCCCCAGCAGGAACGCCCAGCTGGCCGAGCTGGCCATCCCCCAGGCACTTGCAGGGAGGCCGGATGATAACGAGGTGCTGAGGTATCCCTACGGTCAGTAGGCGAGGCCGCCCGCCCCTTCCCCTCAACAGGCACTGGACCACGGCCCTGCCCCGTGGTTCCTTCTGTCCTCTCCTGCGCCCGGCGGTGGCAGAAGGACAGGTGCCATGGGGCAGCCGAGCACCATCCCGTTCCTCCAAGGGCCGTCCGCCCAGGGCCCTGCTGAACCCGGCAGATGGCCACACACGTCCTTGTGTCCTTCTCCAAGCTGAGCAGCCTCTGGGCACTTCTCCTGTCCCTCCCCCTGCCAGCACACAAGCTATAGCCCAGTCTGGTGGGTCTGGCGCCTTCCTTGTCCCCACAGCCCAGAGCCCTCTGCACCCACCTTCTGGTTTGTATTTGTGTCATCCCGATATCTTCCAGATATTGACACCTCATTAAAATCACAGCTGGAAGCTGTGCGTGGAGGTGCACGCTGGTGATCCTGGCATTTGTGGGGGGCTGAGGCAGGATCGTGGAGCTCAAAGCCAGCCTGAACTACCCAGTGAGACCCTGTCTCAAAAAACCCAAAAACAAAATAAAAGTGCAACTGGTGAGGCCCAGACACCGCAGAGCAGGGCACAGCCGAGGCTCAGCTACCGTGAGGGTGTGGGGAACAAGACACGGGTGCAGGGTGGGCAGCACTTTCAGGGCACAGGAGAGGGACGGGAAGTGGGCAGCAGCCAGGCCTGGCTCATGCCACATGGGGCCTGGGTGTGTCCACACCCCCGGTCCCACAGGGGGTGGTGGCCCTAAGACACTGGGCTCCGGGCCACCCGCAGAGGCAAGGAGGCCCTGCGCAAGGCTCCTCTCAGCCCGACACTGCGAAGGCCCTCCTCCTGCTGTCCCTGCAGAAGCTGGCGTGAGGGTGACCCTGGGGTCCCGGCCGCCGTGTACCAAGGCAGAAGATGCCCAGTTCTGGTTTGACGCCACCCGGAGGGGGCTGTACCTGTGCATGGGCAGCGAGTGGGTCTTGGTGTTGGCAGGTGAGGCTGCATCATACGCCCGCGTGCCACCCTGAGCAGGCAGGAGAGCCTGGCGCGGCCCGGCTGGGGCAAGGCGGTGATGAGGGCTGAGTGGCCCGGCCACCTGCACACCTGGCCGTCTGGGCTGGGACTCTGAGAGGGAGCCCTGTCCTCGGTAGGCCAGACATGCCCAGCCCCCACACCACGGGGCAGGGACACTCACCCTCAAGCCACAAATCCAGGCACACACAGCACGGGTGTGGCCCGCGAACTGCGGCAGGGCTGGGCGTCTCCCACTTCCTCTCTCCAGTGCCTGGGGGTCCTGGTGCTCACCCCGCTGACCACCAGCCCACGGACAATGACATCTGCCCCTACGCACACCTGCGGCAGGCGGCACCTGCGAGCCAGGAGCTGAGAGCACAGGAGTGAATGCCACAGACAGGCTCTGCAGGAGCGAGGGGCAGTGGGCCGGGAGTCCTTCGGGAGGGGCGCCACACAGGAGAGGCGTCCTGGCCTCGCTGAGCGTGGGTGAGGCTGCAGGCCACCTCCTGTCTGGAAGCCAACTACGGCCGGAGTCAGCTGTGGCTGGGCCCTGGGTGCTACCGATGGGGTCGCCCGGTGCCCGCCCGTGGCCCGCTAACCCGCCACCGTCTTCTGCCCAAGCCAAGGTCAGGCTGGACTACGTGGAGGGGTACCAGAACCTGTTCACCCACTCGGAGACGCTGGGCCTCGAGGTGTTCGGCATCCCCCAGGCGGGGCTCTTTGTGGCGACGGCCAACCGCAAGGCCACATCCGCCATCTACAAGTGGACAGACGGCAAGTTCGTCCCCTATCAGAACATCGCCACGCACCAGGCACAGTCCTGGCGACACTTCACCATCGGGAAAAAGGTGAGTCTGGCTGGTGGCGCCCCCTGCCTTCCCACAGGGGCACTGCAGCGCCACGGCCCCAGCGCTCTCTCAGGGTCCCAGTCCCGTCGCAGAAAGGCTCGGCATGGCTGCAGCTCTCGGTCCAGCGCAGGACCAGAGAGGTCTGCTCACTTCTCACAGGCAGGAGGCAGGGCCATTCCTGCGAGGCTGTCCCCCTGTGCAGACCTGGGGAGCTGGTCGACAGTGCAGACGCTGGAATTAAAAGCGAAGAACTGTGCTTCTCCCTCCAGAAACACGGAAGACACGTGGCATCCAAACAGAGGGGGGGGGTCCAGGAAAGCGTCTTCTCTCCCTAGGTCCTGGACTCCAAGCCACAGAGTCCTGGACACAGCGTCCCATGACCGACCTCCAGATTCTCACTTGCCCGGCAAGGGCATCTGAGACAGCCAGGCCTTCTCCTAGGCCCGGGGACAAACCAGACAAGCTCTGCCCCCGGCCCTTACCTCTGCCACTGTCTCAGCTGCCTCCACGTCCCGTACGGCGAATCCGTAACGAGCCTTTTTTTTCTAAGTGATGATGTTTTTCATTGCCATTAAGTAGATAAAAAGACAGACTACAAAATTCAGAAAAACACGGGAAAAAATACTTTGGGCCCTCACCTGAGCAGACACCAGTCTCCGAGCACATGGAGCCCCAGCCCCAGCCCCGTTAGAGCCACCGCCGGGGATCCCCCTCCCCGCCGTGTCCCCACGTTAGAGCAGTCCCCACTCTGGCATGCCGCTGTGCGATGGGCCACGCCCTGACCGCAGGAAGGTTCTGTCCATCCCATCAGGGAAAGTGTTTGCCCACGAAGGGCTCCTGAATTTGGGAATCTTTTTCCTTCTGATAGAAGTCTGAATAACAGGCTAAAGAAGGTGGCGTTCTTAAGGTCTCAGTTACCATGATTACCCAACCTGGACAGCCAGCGCCAGCTTCAGAAACCTTCCACACCAGGCCCCCGCCCCCATCAGAAGAGCCAAGCTGACCTGGTTTCTCTCTCAGGTCTTCCTGGCTGTGGCTAACTTTGGACCAAATGAAAAGGGCCAGGAGTTCTCAGTCATTTACAAATGGAGCCACAGAAAGCTGAAGTTCACTCCGTACCAGAGGATTGCCACCCACAGCGCCCGGGACTGGGAGGCCTTCACAGTGGATGGGGAACACTTCCTGGCGGTGGCCAACCACCGGGAAGGTAGGGCATGTGTGGCCTTTGACCCGGCAGCAGTCCAGTCCTGGGGAAGAGCATGACTTCTTGCAGGGTGGATTCTTACCTCATAAAAAAGTAGTAACTTTCCAAGCATGGTGGCACATGCCTTGTGACACTAGTGCTGTGTGGCTGAGGCAGGAGTACTTTGAGGCCAGCCTGAGCTATAGAGAAAGAACCTGTCTCAAAGATAAAAGAGAGAGAAAGAGGAAAGAAGCTAAGTCACAGTGGGCCTAGACCTGGGCTCACCTCTCACATCACTGTGTCAGGGTGGGCCCCCAGGAGCACTGTCACAGTCGCCTGCAGGCCTGTGGAGAGGTGGGGAGACACACAGGGTCCTGTGTGGTTCCTGCCAGCAGGGCTCTGCAATTTCCATCCCGGTTTGAAAATAATCAGCTAACAGGGTCAGGGATGTAGCTCAGTGGTTCCGCCGCCTGCCTGGCAAGTGCAAGGATCCGAGTTTCATCCCTGGTACCAAAAACAAAAAAAAGAGAGAAAGAAAGAAAGGAAACAAAGAAGCGTGGAGTCGTGGACTCCAACTCCGCGAGGGTCAGGGCCTCCTGCTCAGAGCCCAAGGCCACACAGCTCAGCCTTCCCCAGAGTCTGCAGCCCCAGGCTGGGAGAAGCCTCCACCATTCTGCGCACAGGCACAGGGGAAGCCAGGCAGCCAGTAGCCGGTGTGAGCCAGGGAGGGGAGCAGGGCAGGCCTGGAGGGCCCCAGGCAGAGGCAGCTGGAGAGGGCTGTGAGACCTGCAGGACAGGACGGGAGGGCGCAGAGGGAGGGAGCAGCCCTGCCCTGGGTTTCTGGCCGCCTTCAGAGGAGCAGCTCCTCCACGCTGGGCCTGGTGAGAAGAGAGTTCCGGGGGCAGGACGCTCTGGGGGCAGGGCTCCGAGGGCGGGTGGTCCTACAGGCCCCACGGCGCTGTCTGTGGCCTTGGCTCCAGGTGACAACCACAACATCGACAGCGTCATCTACAAGTGGAACCCCAGCTCCCGGCTCTTTGAGCCCAACCAGACCATCGCCACGTCGGGCGCCTACGACTGGGAGTTCTTCACGGTCGGTCCCTACTCCTTCCTGGTGGTGGCCAACACCTTCAACGGCACCTCCACCAGGGTGCACTCACACCTGTACATCTGGCTCGTCGGCTCCTTCCGGCTGTTCCAGTCCTTCCTGGTGAGGCACGGAGTCTAGTCACGGGGTGTCCGTGGGGCCCCAGGGCCTCCCCATCGGGACAGGTGGAGCCTCGCCCCCGCCGGCCACTTGTGCCTCGCAGCCTGGGCAGCCACTGCAGTCCTGCTCCCGGGCACTGAGGGGGGAGGCGGGGCCGGGCCAGCGGGGACTTTAAGGCGTGGTCCAAGGAAGCGACGAGCCCCCCAGGGCACTGAGTGGGCCAGGGCTGTGGGCAGCGTGCACAGTGGGGTCCATTTGCCTGTGGGTTCTAAAGGCTAAAGCCGAGAGCACAACGCCAGCAGGGAGGCTGTGGAGGTCTCTGAGGGTCCTGGTCCGTGTGGGCAGCACACAGCTGCCCCAGCCCCTTCCGGCGGGTGTCCTGCCGCCGCTCCATGCTCAGTGTGGGCTCAGGACTGAGGTCTCCAGGGGTCCTGGTGGCCGTGGTGAGGGAGTCTCGCCCAGGGCCAGTGTACATGGGAGCCATGGCAGCAAGTCCCCTGACAGGAGGGGAGCAATGAGTCAGGACGTCCACAGCCCCCGGCCCATGGCACCAGGCAGGAGCCCTGTAGGACACGAGTGTGCACTCTCTGGGGTGTGTGCAGTGTGTGCCAGCATGCGTGTGGGCACCGGCACTGCAGGGCAGCGGGGAGCTCCCGGAGAGGTCGGGCTGCAGTGCAGACACGAGCCCTGAGGGCAGGACTGGCCCCCGGCCCTGGCCGCACCCCTTCTGCGGAAGGGTCAGGCCGGGCGGAGGACCAGGCAGGCAGCAACCGGGCAGCCCACGTGCAGCCCAGGCAGATGGTGCCCAAGGTGCCTCGTCAACGATCTTCACAATAAAAACGAGCGATTCTCTTCACGAGAATGTCCCAGTCAGGTGTGGAGCACACGCAGACCAGAAAGGCCTCGTTTTTCTGACTCGGGTGGCAGACACCCTGTCCTTGTGAGGCAGTGCCCAGACCCTGGCTGGACGCCGGTGGGAGGGGCCCGAGCCGTCTCTGGACCCTGCTTGGGGTTCGCGGGGAACCCTGTGCCCCCACTGCTCTCACAACACCGTCCCAACCCAACTCCGCGAGCGTCAGGGCCTCCTGCTCAGAGCCCACGCCAGCTTCTCAGCCTGGGTTCTCCTCTGTGTCCAGCCGCTCCGCCCCTTCCCGTGTGTCCGACATTATCATCGCGGCCCGCCCCACTTCCCTGTCAGGCCGGCCGCCTCTGTCCTGTCTGCCCGCCTTCGCGTTTGCCCCTTGGCTGTGCACCCTCAGCCCGCGTCTGTCCCCACTGTGGGCTCCTCGGGGCGGGAAGGACACCTCCCCTACCGCCCGGGCCTGGCCTCCCCCCCCCCCC